CCATTAACCTACTTCAGTCCTTTAGAGTTAAGGGCATGTCATCCAAAGAGCCCAAATATCTGTTGTGGAGCAGAGCTTGGAACCTACATTACCTGGATCCTGAATTAATGTCCTGTCATCGATTGTACTGGCTGGAGTCTGTTATTGTCTTAGCCATGATGAAGATTGCCTTATTGTACCATTGCTGCTGGTGCCTGATGCCTGAAAATACATCCTCCAGCACGTAGCTGATGTGGGGAGGGTTGGTACAGGCGGAGCCCAAAATACTTACTGCCTTAGGATGTGAAGTGTCTGTGAGGAGATGAGCTTAGTTCTCAGCTCCGGGTTTTCAGACCTGGGGCAACTCACAATTTGCATGTCCAGTAAATTGGCTGGACTTCAGTCAGAAACAGTTAAATAAGCCTTTCATAAAGGTAGTTCTCTTTCTTTTTAATTCCCTGTTCTGTCCTCACTGGTAACTGTAAAGGGTCACCTCTGCTACTGAGAAGCCTTGTGCGTGTTGCATATATCCAAAGGAAAAAGCTTGAAAGCTGTTCCTGGTGGGAGACTGGAAGTCAATTACTCAGTCTTGACCTACAATGCCAAACTGAGGCCGGTAAAACAAGCACCATAATCAGCTTCACTTAAGACATCAGTTTTTAAATAGCAACTAGCGGTATTTGTATTCATTTAAGTGGCTTTTAAGGCAGAACTGGTGAGAAGTTGCATCATTGGACCACTCTTAAAAACGTTCATTTACTCTCCAGTAAAGAGCAAAAACTTGTGGGTTTTTTTAGAAGATCTGGAACCTGGCACACAGAGCATGTTAGGATATCCTCCCCATGTGAGTTTGAGAGAGCAGAACATTGCAGGTACAGATTTCGTACTGCTCCACATAGACCCTAGGAAGCATTTGCCCAAATCCTTGATCCAGTTCCTCATTTGAACAACTTTAAAAGTCCATTCCGTTACCTTCTCTTCAGGTGGCATCAAGCTGTCTGGATCTGAGAGGGAATTTATTTCATAATAATTTAATTTGCTAGCACATATCTCTGTGTTTGTATCTTATTTTCTTTCTCTCTTTTTCATTGCATTAACTATGTGTTTCCTTGGTTACAAACAAGACAATGGTGTTGTCTGGAAGAATAATAACTTCCACTCCAAAAATAGTATTGTATTGCATTGCAGACTTATTTGTTATCCTCTATTCTTGACGTTGTTACTTTCCTAATCACATATAGTCTAATCTTGTATTTATGTGGTGCAGTATGATAGTATTTCTTCACTAATGCATTTATAAAGGAGAGTAATGTAGAAGGGCTTTTTCCCTAGAAATTCATTGAAAAAGGGGAGAAAATTGCTGCAGCATGAGCAAGGTCTCTGTTATGTTGCTGCTTGGGTAGTAACCTGAAAAAAACCCCAACATAATCCTGGCTGGGGAGATGTTAGGAATTGATCAAGAAAAGGAAAGAGCTTCAGAAAACACCTGGGTAAAATAATGAACCCGATTCCCAGTGCCACTGAGAGTGCTGTAGGTGTGTGAGCACTCGGTCCTCTGCAGGCCAGGAAAATCAGTGCAGGAACAGCACAAAGAGACGTGGGCAGCGAGGTGTGTTTCCTCAGAAATGTTCTGATGAGCATCACTAGTTTGAGAACAATATTACAAGGAAGACAACTTTCTGCTGCTGGAATGGGATGTGGGAGGGAGATTTGAACAAACATAGTTCTGTTTGGGAACATTCTGGGTAATACTTCCCACTTCAGACAGTAGAGCTGAGACTCAGCCATGTTCTAGCTTACACCCCTGCATTTCTGTTGGGGCCCCAAGCTGCCACAAGACACGACTGAAGAGAAAGTTAAACATTTTTTACAGGAGACAAACATGGGGCAATAGAACTTTTATACACAATAAAGCTGACACAAACCTTTCCTGTTCTGTCCCAGCTCTGCTCAGGGCTGTGGAGTAGCTGGTCAGTTACCAGTACCTAGAATTTTGTCTCCCTGACTATATTGCAGGTATTTTGGCCATTTCTGTCTGTTCATCATATCTCTAACTTGCATACAGAGAGTCGTTTCTGCTAGAATTAATGGGAGTAGAAACAAATAATGTTGGCTGCTTTTCTCTACAGATGTGCTTTCCCTGCATTAGTTGTGTACCATAGTGAAATGGAGGTGTTTGTAGGTTATATTTAATATGGTGATTTATATGCAAGGTCAGGCTGCTGGTTCATCTAGTTCCCCAAAACATGATTTGGAATTGCTTTCCTTTCATTCTTTCTACTTGGATTGTATTCTTTCTTGGATTCAAATAGCCCAATTCCTGATACCTTGTGTGCTCGGTGACTGGTTTGCACACACTCGTGTCCTTGGAAAGAAAGACTTAGATGTTCTGAAACACTTTGTGGCACTGAAACTGCAGAGGGAATTTTTTCCACATCTTTCCAGGGCAGCCTCTGTGGAAAGAGGTAGCAGCTGATGTGACCGGCTTAAACTTCTGCTTTATGAAAACGCTATTTTAAAAAATGGTGGCGACTTTTTAGATGAACATCAAATGTGAACAGCGCTTGTGTTGTGATCAAAGTCTGGAACACAGGTTTAGGTAAAGGAGAAAATACTCTTTTTGTCTGGGTTTAAATCACACTTTTTTCTTTTACAGTGGCCCATCCCCAGGAGCCTCACCACCCCTCTGAAAAGCCGGTCATCCACTGCCATAAATGTGGGGAGCCATGTAAAGGTGAAGTACTCCGTGTTCAAGCCAGACACTTTCACATCAAATGCTTCACCTGCAAAGGTAAGACGTTGATATTTATCTGTTAGAAATTAATCCATTTGTGCAAATGTACCTGGAACCAGTGATGAGAGGTCACGCTTCCTGTGATCTATCAGTTAAGGATCTTCTCGTTGCTTGGTATCTGAAAGATTTGTAGGTAAAGAACGGGGCTGAAATGGCTGAGTCACACATGTACAAGCAGCAAGGTGGTCAGCAACATACGGAACAAATTCAATATGAAACTGAATTTAATTGAAAAGGAAGATGTTTTATTTTACTGGGGGAAGAATAAATCTGCCACCACTGGAAGCCTCAGAATAGCACATTCTGTTCTGAAACTTATATGTTCATTCTGTTTCTTTTCTATGTTCACCTGAAAGAGATGGAAAAAAAAAATCTTAGCTCTTTTTAATATTACTTTCAATTTTATTTGCTCTATACCATTCTATGTAGACAGTCACTTTTACATATTTCCCAAATAATTAACTAGGCTGTAATTAGAGTCCGACGGCTTTGTTTAGTTTTTTCCCTGTTTATTTGGGAAAAAATGGAAGAACACGAAACATCCAAGATGAAGTGCTTTATGGTGAGTCACAAAACATAGAAAGAGTAAATATAGCCCTAGCAGCCATTTAGAAATCCAGTGTAAATAGACTTTGTTTCAAATGATTATGTTGTATGTATTTACTGTTTTTTCCATATGTGGGGTGAAAGTGTGTTTAGATTGTATAGTGTGTTGTGCTGAAAAGGAGTATAGCATAAGAATACTTAGGAAAAAGCTGCCATTTTGTACTTACTGTTCTGAGTGGTTTTTCATGGGTGTGGATAAATCTGGATTCTTCCTAAACTGTTAATAGCAACTACTGCCTCTCATTAGGGATAGTTATGGAAATTAAGCTCCTTTTAACTGAATTGATTGATGAAAATAAATACCTGCCTTCAAAAAATCTCACCAACCCCTGATGCATACTGGCATCCGAGAGAAACACGCAGGGTGGTCACCGAGGAGTGTGCTGGGAAGAAGCCTCAGCCACAGGTTTTAGGAGAGAGGTGCTGTCTGTGAGCAATGCCGAGGGTGGTCACAAAAGGAAAGGAGCAGGAGACGAGAGATCTCTGGCAGCCGTGCTGACACCGTCACCCTCAGAAAAAACAAGCTGGAGCTTTTAAGCTGAGAGGCTGAAAAAAAATTCTTTACTTGCTTTTCTTGTGGTTGGGTTTTGCCTAAGTTCAAGAAATAGCAGCAGGCACGCTCACGTGCACGCTGCGTACATGTGCGCATCTCTCCATGCTTGTGTGTGTAGGTGTATACATTTACATGCACACACTTGCTGGGGGCCTCTGGGCGTTCAGCCTGTGAGGCTGAGTCTCCTCCTCCTCTGTATGAGCCTCCACCTCTCACTGTGTTTCTGTGTCTGTAGTTATGTTTGCCGAAAAGCTGTACGGGAGCTGCACGGCGGGCAGCTGGGTCACTGTGGAGCTTCGTCTCCTGCCAGCCCTGGTTCTGCAAAGGGCTTCCGAGGCTCTGGGTCGTGGAGCTGCCTGGGGAAGGGGGAGAGCGCTGCTCGCTCCTCAGAGGAAGGACCTGAGGGGCTCTCAGGAGCTCTGGCTCATGCCACTGAGCCCTCTGTGACCACAACAAGGACTCACTGTGGTTTTTTGACAAGAGAAGAGGTTTAATGAAGCATTAAATAATTGTAAAACTACTCTTTGTGAAGTCATCAGCTTCAAAGAAGGGTGTTCTGAAGGATGAGGCAATCCTTACTCTTTCGTACAGCTTCTGTTTATTGGACAACAACGCAGAGTTGGCTGAATTAAGTAACCACAGCACACAGGATGAAAGGTGAGAATGCGGAGAAATGTGTAAGCTCTTGTGAAACAAGGGAAAGGTTCAGTCCTTGCACAGCATAGGATGGACACAGTGAAAGGGCTTCAGGCTTTACGTGAATCATAGAATCACAGAATGTTGGGGGTTGGGCGGGACCTCTAGCGATCATCTAGTCCAACCCCCTGCCAGAGCAGGATCCCCTAGGGCAGCCACACAGGAACGCGTCCAGGTGGGTTTTGAAAGTCTCCAGAGAAGGAAACTCCACACCCTTAAAGGAAACTCCACAACCTATGTGGTGGAGCTGGTGGCAAACATGGAGAGGGATGCTGCAGTAAATCAGAGTAACTTAGACAGAGTAGCAGAATCTACACCACAGAGGTTTTTGCTTTCTTTAAACCTAAGCTGTCTTTTCAGAAAGTCCGTATCTAGCATGTATACTGCAGATCCAGACTTTGAAAAAGTGCCTCGAGCCCAGTCTGGGAGTTTGAGTTATATTTTTCATGTTCCTAATGTGGGTGGAATAGCAAAGTAGTGTGATTGCTATAACTGTTCATCTGCTTCCTAAATAGACAAGATATAGCAGAAATATTTGTTTTCCTATATTACTAAAAGAACGTTGAGTTATTTGCATGCTAAAAAATTAATGGCTAGAATCTAAGAAATTCTGTGTCTGTGTTACCTGTGGGTTTTAGTTAAATAAAGCTAGATAGCTCAGAAAATACTGAACTTTCTCCTGGATATTAGTATTTTTCACCTGTGTCAAACTGTGTCAGTGGTATCAGCCCATCATGGAAGGCAGAGATGAGTGCAATCTGCACTGCTCCTGAAATGCTTGGGTATAATGCATACATGTTTCCCTATTACAGTCGCTGTATTTCAAGGAGTACTTGATGTTATATAATCCGTAAGCAGTTCAAAACCAGCAAGTTTGTTCATTTGTTTTTCTCTGTGAGAAAGGAGAGGGATGTGTATGAAATGTTGCTCCAAGTCCTGTTTTGAGTCTTAGGCTTCAACCGCAGAGCTTGTTTATTGTTGGCCCCTCATATTGAAATGAATGCAGTTTTTGTTTAAACCATACAGTTATTTACTTACATTGCACGTTGTCTGACCATATGGTTTGTACAAGTGGGACACAGCTGTTCAAGTAAGTGTTGGGTTTTTTTCCTCTTAGTCTAATGGGTTTTTAATTTGACATGACTGTGGCTCTACAGGAGGTGGAGTTAGAGCTCCTCAGTTTATAGGGTGTGTTGATAGCTAGAGGAAACAACTGATGCTGGGACATCAGCTGCATCTACAGCTACTTTGCCTGTCTTTCTCCTTTCTGTATACTACAGTCTGCTTTTGAGGCTTCAACTCATCTACAATATGAAAGACTCGAACAAGCTTGTACTTGTCTTACTGTTGTCATACCTGCTCAAAATGTTAAAGCCTTTACCCATAGACTAGTAAAAATGTTGAAAAACCCCATTTCCTCATAAAGCAGTAACAGCAGTTGTGTAGTAGCAGGGTTTCAGTGTGGTTCTGTTCTTACTTCACTCTGTATGAGATTCCTTTTTTTTTTATTTAATTGCCATCCATGCTCTCAATTTTGTGTTTACATTGTCGTGTTAAGCATATTTGATGTGATCATAATCCTGCCTCCCCAGGCTGTGTCAGAGACGCGTTGGCACGCCGTGGTGGCTCAGAACGTGTCGGGGGTGGCCGCGCTGCAGGAACATGGTGACTTAAACCTTCGTGCTGCATCAGCCAGCTCAGGAGGTGCTCAAGTGTCCTGTAATGTGATCAGACAGTTGTCTTCCCCTGTAGTTTGGTGCTCTGTCCACCTCTGGAATCTTTCGCAGAACAGAGTAACTGGTTCCTGACAAAGATGACAAGAAAAACCTCCACCGACTGATGTGTTCCCAGAGGCCGTGATAAGCTGCAGCTAACCGCTGCCTGCTGAGAACCAAGTGTGTACAGCTGGTTGGGCCTCTCTGCCTGGCAGGTTCTATTTGTGGCTCCAGATAAGAGCTGATAAAAAGGCAAAGAGCAGAGGATGGGGGCGCCCGTCCCCCCGGAGGGGAGCGCG